AGAGGGGCAAGACAGAACCCCAGGAAAGATGGCATAAAGAGATCCGTCGGTCCTCCCTGACCTCCACCATCCTTCCATACTCTCCCAAGCCAAGAAGTTACAGCCCTTATCGCGACCGCCGGTTCCACTCTATATCCTGATATGTTTAATCGTCTAAGATCGAGTAGGACATCCATCGGTACGTCCTTGTCCATTGTCAAAAGTATTTCCATCTCATTGTCAATCTTTCAGTTAGCTAATGTGTGAGTCCACTCGAAAACCCAGCTCACTTGTTGTGGGAATTGAAGATTGGCAAGTTCTATGATATGTAGAACCGCGCGATTGTTCCATTTCGTCTCACTCTCTTCTACTCTGCCAAGAGTAGGCTGACCGTCAGCAGGATCCCTGTTAGATTGTGTTAACTCACTTGAGGTAGAGATTCCAATAAATGAGTAAGCTCTTCATGTGTTCCTTCTCTATCAGTAACAAGTAAGTCCACGATATTTCTTCGTATACCTGATTTATCAGCTCGTACCTTATAAAATCAAGATGTACGTACTGGGATCCTCGACTCTCTCGATGATCTTCATCAATTCCGGCTCGATATCTCTATTTTCACTGTCACGATAGAGCGACCAAATGACATTTTGTCCTAAACCAGTGGTAATTTCAACAGCCTTTGCTAATTCATCCAGATTATCGGATTGCGTGGACAAGACTGGAACTTGTGAAATAATTTCTCTCATCCAACGCGCCAAAATCTGCGTGGCAGAATAATCAAAAGTATTGATCTGACCATATTTCTCCAATAAATAAACGAACACGTGAAGTCGTTCCAGTTCCGACATTATAGTTGAAGGTGGTGCAGTGAGGATTTCTGCCAAGTTGGACCGGAAAGAATTAATCAATGACCATAAAGCATTCGCGGCATTGGGTTTGTTTCGAGATCTTTGTTGATTATGTGCGGAAATAGAGATGATGCTTTGAGAATTGATAGGATCTTGGATCCAAGTAAGGAGTTGTCGATGACGACTCTCATTACGAAGATACAGAAGCAGCTCGTTGAAAGTGCCGAGTTTGACTTTTAGCAAGTTCGGGTTAAGAGACGGGTCAATTGGCATAATCTCAATCAACCCTTGAGAAGGATCGTCATCATGTAGTTGCAGGTCTGGCTGAGCGCTTAGAGCGAGGAATGTCGAGGCGATGTCGTACAATTCCTTTGCGGGTTGTGTATGAATCTTCCCAAAACGAGGTATGAACGATTTCGCTGACCACGTTTGCGATACCACAACATTCGCGATTTTAGCGGATGTCGTTTCTCCCGTATCGTCATATATCTTCAATCGTCTCAGTATTGTATCATCCTCCAACGCCAAGTCGAACGAATCTCCCTCAGAACAGGCTCCTGTTGTCCGAACCATGTCTTCGTCCACTCTCTCGACGAACAATTCCACACCTCTATTCCTCATTGCTCTTGATAACTCCCCATGGGTAGGGTCATACGTCATGAACAACCTGAAATCCGGGTGTGGTTTGACAGTCTCCGGAGTTCCAGTCGATGAGCCTTTCTCCGACAAGACCAAAACACCATTTGTCTCGCATAAGCTGTTCAGTCTGTCCAATACCGATGGCGAACATAAGTTGGCGGAAGAAATAAGGAACCAACCTCCTGATCGGATGGCTGTGAGGAGGGGTCCATCTATCCAAGCGAAGCCGGTTTTCTGACTGGCCGCTGTCTTAAGTACATCGAATGCGGAATATAAAGAGGTGAGGTCAACATGAGAGGCGATTGTTTTGACTTTCGACCTTATATCATCCAAAACTTGGTCGAACCCAAAAGAGTCTACCTTTCTGGAAAAAGTCGAGGCTGAATCTGGGAAAGGAGCAGGGTTAATAGTGTCGAAGATAGTCTTGAGACTATTATCGATTTCCAAAAGTCGAGAATCGAGCTGAGGGTCGAGCTCGATAACTTGACGTCGCACTGCATCCAATTCACGTCGGGCTATATATAGAGCTCTTTCAGAATCTTGTTGTTCGAAACTTCCCAATAATTCACTAGTATCCACCCCAGGATGCATGGCGAACTCCCCCAATTCCCTTCCTGCACCACTGGCGAGATACCGTAACAAGCTTCGTTTCCCACTTGCAGCTTCACCAGAAAGAATCACCAACCAACCCATCTCCACGCATTTCAATACCGATTCAGCCATCTCCAAGTGACCATACTTGATTGACCCTTCCATTTTAGTGCAGGTGGAACGACGTATGATCGAATGACCTAATTGGAAATACGTAGATGTTATCATGGGGGTAGGTCGGATGAAATCGAGTTTCAAATTGAAGGTATCTTCAAATATCTCACTGACGGCTTTTCTGTCGGATTCAGAACGGAATCGTTGGAGATAGACCAATGGGAGAAATTCCATCGGATGATTGGATACTTCCAACCCGTTTGATTGGGAAAGAAGATTAAACCATCTGAATAAATCACGAAGGTTGAATTCCCAAGGACTGCCAAACCTTCCAATAGTCTTAGAAACCATTGTTTTCTCTCGAATAATCTCATTGAAGGTTATCATACGTTGAACCATTTCTGTAGATAGGGAAGGATGAAGATCTTGACAAATAAGTAACAAGTCTTCTGAGGTATGTTCTTGCAGATAAACTTTCGTGAATCTATTCAAAAAAGATTTTGGTAATCCTTTTCTTCCTCCTCCTTGCTGAAGTGGATTTTGAGCGGCGAAGACTCTGAAATCCTTATGACGTACGAACGATCTTCCAAGTTCAGGTATATAGACTGTACCTCTATGATCGAGTACAGCGTTAAGACCTTCAAGAACGGTTTGTGAAGCTAGATTCATTTCGTCCAATAAGACCCAATCACCTTTCTGTAAAGCATCGAGAAATGCCGCATCACGCCATTGGAATTCACCGGCGGAACCACCTTCGACCGGTAAGTCGGAACCAAAGAGGTCGATCAAGTCCGTTTGATCAGAAAGATTGATACGATGGAGTTTATGACTTGAAATAGAGGCTAGAGCAGAGACGAGGGACGTTTTCCCGACCCCTGGTGAGCCTTCGAGTAAGATAGCTTTTGGTAGTTGACATCCTCGAAGAACTCGCATGGCATTGAGAGCCGTAGTGGGGGCTTCAAACTTGAAGTGAGATGTTTCGGTTGGGATCAATCCGCGGGGAATTCCAAATCCACCTAGTTTGACTTCCAGATCGGTCGTCTCAAGTGTCGGTGCTTCTTTCGGTGATACCTCCTCATCGTGACGTGGAAGGTATATACAGAGTTGATTCAGACATTCTTGACGAAGCGTCGAAATTGCCAAAGAAGTAAATCCAGAGACTTGAGGGAGACTCTCCAATCCATCTACGAAAACCATCTGACCACCGTGCATATACGCTGTTGGGGGATCCATCAAGCCCTTCCCATGAACCTCATTCATGAACCCAACCCAAGCCAATATATCTCTCAATCCCAAGCCCCCATCTCCAAGACGTACCTTGAACCATTCGAAGAAGTCCAACACCGGTTCGCTCCATATACGCAACTCGTTGTATTTCCAAGAAGCATTGATGATCTGAAGTAAATCTTGACTATCGTTCAATGCCGGAACCCATATCTCGGTAAACCTATTTCGCAAAGCTGGTGATAATTCTTTCTTTCCGAAATCTCCACCGGGATTCATTGTTGCCACCACGTGGAACCCTGGGTGTGCAACAAGAGTTGCAGCATCGATATCGGTCCCTCCTCTTTCAGCCAATACGAGTGTTCTTCCAGGTTCTAAAACCGAGTTGAGTCTTTCAAGTACGGAGTCATCAGCGAGAGAGACTTCATCCAGTAGTAAAAGATCTCCCGAGCGCATAGCATGGACTAAAGGACCGTCAGACCATTCGAATAACGCCAACAACTGTTTGAGCTCTACTTGACATGATGTAAGGATATCTTGAGGGACATCTGGTCGCTTTGAAAGTTGATCGCATGCCGAGAGAATCTCATCTTCGCCAGCGTCAAGTGGTAACGGTATCCACTGAGAAAGGGTATGAACGAGTTTAGCTTTACGCTCAATCCTATTTCGAACTGGACGTTGACTCCCTAGCAAATCGGCAGTCTCCATATTTTGATGACAATTCACCCCTATCATCTGTTGACCAAACGCTTGAGCGATGATATCACATACAGAAGTTTTCCCACTTCCCGTTTCCCCAACAAGCAAAACCGGCTCGTTGTGAGCTAGAGCGAAAGCTATCAATCCGAAAAGGCGTTGCATGGCTTTGGTCCACACCAAGGATGAATTTGGTACTGAAGTGAAGGGAAGACGAGAGAGTATGCTCTCTGTTGGTTGATCGAATAAACGATATAAGCGATGTTCATCAATGGTGACTTTCATGATATCTTCAATGACTTGCTTGATTACTGCTTTATCCTCATCTTGCCTTGCTCTTTCAGCCAAAAGCATATATCCATCTTCGGCCAATTGTTGATATCCCACCGCACCCCTTTCTGCCCAACGGAACAAATCTCGAAGAGTTGCGAAAGAAGATTTCGATTCGAAGACTCTACTGGCTTGTCGACGATGTCGCAATTCTTCGAAGACTTGAACAATCTTCTTAGCGTAAGAAGGGGCTATTTGACATCTTTGACAAAGGATAATTTCAAGTTCTTCTTTGGGCACATCATCGAAATGAACTTCCAAAAATCGATTTCTGAATGCTCTCGAAAGAACCTTACGACCTGCATAAAGACCAGGCGGATTCTGTGTAGCGAATAAGATGAAATTTGGATGGGGTTTGACGACCTCTTGAGTTTCTGGTATTACAAGTTCACGATTATCATCTAACAATCGATTTAGAGCTTCGAGGACATCGGTAGGTGCCAAGTTAAGTTCATCCAAAACCAACCAATGTCCTTGTCGTACAGCAGTGACCAGAAGTCCTTCTTGGAATGACAAAGATCCTGTCCTGGGATCTGTGACATACGTTCCTAGGTATTCTTGGATATCTGTATGTTCGTGATTGTTGATACGCACGAATATGTGACCAGTCTGACGAGCTAAATATTCTACAGCAGAGGTTTTACCACTCGATGTCGGACCTTGTATCAAAACAGGGTATTTGTGTGTCATGATGACCCTGGCTAAATCGGCAAGTTTCGACTGGACCGATGGGGTGATGATATATCTTGATTCATCGCTAGGAACTTCAGGACCGCGTTTGAGCCAATATGGGCCGAATCGAACGAAGTCGTCGGAATCTGCAGAATGAGGAAGGGAAGGGATTTGGGATAAGACAGCTCGAGCGTTTTTCATAGGAATGAGAATATATTGTTCGCACACTTTACAAGCGCGTTGAGAACTGTCGTAATCCAAAGACATGGTGAATGACATCAGAGATCCCTCCCATAATCCTCGACGTAATCCAAACACTGGGGCGGTCTCAACGGCAAAAGAAAGAGCTCGGGTGAGGGTCCTCATACTGAAATGAGGGGGTACGTTGGAACCATCGACAATTTCTCGAGTATCGGAAAGACGTTTCAACTCGGTGTACAATTCGACAATGTCCAAAATGACACTTTGGTCGCCTGCAGCAACGTCGGAAATGTATTGCGAGACGATGGCAGTCAAAGCGTCTCGGTCATCATCCGGGGGTGGAACATAGAATTCTGTAAAGCGAGAACGGAGATTCGGAGGAAGGTCTTTTTTGCCGACATCTGTGGCTGGGTTCATACATGCGAACAGACGAAAGTCGGGATGGCGTGGAACAGGTTCGACGTCGCCTCTCTCGGTCAACACGAGCGAAGAGTATGTTCCTTCTAATATGGTAGCGATAGCTTCGAGAGTTTCCTGAGAGGCGAGGTTAATCTCATCCAATAAGAGCCTGATAATTAGCCAGATACGGATCATGAAATAACACAGACTCACCATTCCCCATTCTGCAATGCCTTGACAAGTGGTCCTTCGAGGAAAGTAAACACTAATTTGCTTTGCATCTTGACATGCTGTAGCTCAAACTCTTCGGTCACCATCTTACAGCTCTCCCAACGTTTGAGAAGTTCCTCAGCTGCCACGACACCATTCATCTTGCGCTTCTTCGTCATTCCCCCACTTTCTAATAATGAAACATCGTTCCTTTTACAAAGCTTAGCTATCGCTCGCTCCGTCGAGTTTTTCCAGAGACCAACACACCGTTCCCATTTCCTCCCGCTCAGGGCTTTAGAGACTAACTCGAGGTATTTGGCGTTCTCCGATTTTCCAGCGCTGAAAGTGTCACAGAAGAGTGTTTGCCATTGAACATGTATACTCCGTGCCGCAGCAGTCGCATCGACAGGCTTGAAACCTCCAAGAAGATCCGAGCTTTCAGTCTGCATGGACAAGTTCAAGACTGTCAGGAGACGATTGCAAGTTGTAGCAATGTATTGCACAGCAGTGGTCTTCCCCGTACCCGTTTCACCGACAAGTAGGATGGGCTCCGCCATGTTGACGGCACAAGCTATGCGTTCGAGGAGGACGAGAGAAGGCCTGGTCAGTGCAAAAGGTCGCGAGGACTGGATTTGTCGACGACTCGAGGTGGTATGTGTGATGGGAAGTGATGCTCGACCGAGGAATAGTGACCGAGATGATGACGCAACTTCAAGTGTCGGATATCGAGACGAGATCAAAGTAGCCGCAGTCTCGACATCCAGCCCCAGGACGGTAGCGATGACAGACGTCATTTCCTGGCGTCTATCGAGAGACAGAGGTTTCGTGTCAAGAGCGGCGACGAACGTATCGATCGCTTCCATTGTAATCGCCTGTTGCAGAGCAGGATTGCCAAGCGGATTCTCCAATACAAGACCAGAAGAAGGTAGACTCCGGGAAACTCGGGCACACCATTTCTCCAAATCTCTCAGACCTATTTCTCGCGACTTGGTCTTTGATCCGCCTGCCAAATGGCGAAGACCGTTCCAAGCTTTCACAAGCGTTGTCGCCAGACTTGTGGGTATCCTCGGAAAGCTGGTATTGAGGATCTCTAGAATCTCATCCTCGTCAGGCGACTCGAGGATGACTTCCAGATAATTATGTTTGCCTAGAAATGTCGGAGGGGTATACGCTCCCTGTCGCAGAGTCCGAGTGGCAAACATAGCAAACCCATGTCCTGCTTGGATCTTCCCTCTCCCTGGGATATCCAGATAAGCTCTTTGTCCCGGTCCACGGTGCTGAAGGGTTCTTGCTAGTGTGGAGATGGTGACGAGCATCTCGGTACTTGCTTTGTCGATATCGTCGAAGACGACCCATGAACCCGCTTGGAGAGCCTTGGTCAGAGCACCCTGCATCCACTCAAATGTTCCTGGCCGAGTGCGTGATGAGATGTAAGTACCGATCAGAGATTTGACGTCGATGGAGGTGTCCGCCAACGGAATAGTGAGAATACGATTAGTCGGATAGATGGTTGGATGGAGCTGGGAGGAGAGATATTGTACGAGATGGGTTTTGCCTGATGATGGGGATGAGGAGAGTAAGATGGGATGACCTTTTTGTAACAGAGGGCAGAGCTTACGTAGACAAGCTTCAGAGGACGGAGTTGTAACATGGGGGACTGGGGGAGGTAGGGAAGCATTGAGAGTGGAGGTATTGCGAAGGAAGAATGTGCTGGCAACGACGACGGTGTGAGGAGAGAGATACCGGGGTTCGAGAACAGGTAATGGAAGATAGTCAAAGGCTACATTTGACCGTCGTCGACGATCTGAACATAAATATACAGACTCAAGTCAAGGATAGAACTCACAATCTTCCAAACGTTGACTCTCCAATAATGGTAACAACCATCCATCTACTATTCTCCATTTGACCTCAAATACACCTTTCTCACAAGGAGCAATTTCAGCATCATAAATGATCTCTACATCCTGGTCCACCTCCCCTACCCATCTTCTCTCCATACGTTTTCGTTTCTCCTCTGACCACCCTTCTTGTCTAGATAGACAGTGTATAGCCAGCAGCCGGATACCTTTGTCAGGATGTTTCATCCTCAGCTCATGCAGTGGAGCAGAATCCCACCATGTTCCGAGACTCGGGTCAATCGCCAAAAGTCTCCAGTATGTGAGCAGGACACGACATAGTCTAGGAGTTCGGGTTGTGTGATAAGGTGGAAAGAATTTCGACAATGGGGATGAGGATGGAGGGAGGAATCGTCGAATGATATGTACGAGTTCGGGTTTGATTTGTGAGATATCGGCAAGGATAGATAATCGTATCTCCCATTCTTCGTCGCTGTTATTTGGAACATCGAGCCATCGTGCAAAGAGGTCCGAGATGATAGGTTCTAATCGATATAGGATGGAGGAAGAGACACCTTCCAGAGCTAGCAGAAGACTGAGAGAGTCGAGTAGCTCAGATGGAGCTATCTGATGTCCTTGTGAATACTCAAATAGAACTTTAGGGGTTAGTGACAAGGAGGAGGAGGAAGAGGAAGAGGCAGAAGAACAGTTGAGATCGGCCAGCAACAGAGTGGTCTGTCGATGGAGGTCAAGGTGAAGGGGAGAAGTGTGTCTAAAAAGTCAGCTCCGACCGAGTGAACTCATATTATATAAGCTCACAAACTGCTATGGGTAGCTTGTTGAGCGACGTCCATGTCGACGTCTTGTTGTAGCCCAGCCATTGTGAAGGGGTCATAGGGAAAAAAGTCGAGTGACAGGATGAATACTGGACTGAAATTTGCGGGGTGAGACGGAGATCAACTCCATCTCCGTGTCTTCCCCTTACACGTCGCTAAGAGGTAAAATACGGCAAAACTGGATAATCCCGACGGAACTCGAATTAATCCCGACGAAATTTTGCCACTTTCTCCCAAAATACGTCGTTCAACTCCCATATCCCGTCACTACTGACCCAAATCCCTTCACTATTAAAAAATCATCTTTCCGTGGCTTTTCTGATATCATTGGAATGCCTGACGCCTTCTGAGTCTATTCATACCATTTTCGGAACAGCTTTCGGAGTATTGACCACAGGGGCATGGGCAATGTCCCCAACCCAAAATCCTACTTCCTTTTTGGTCCCCTTTCGGCCGAATTCGGGAGCTTTCGGTAATAGTCACATACTCACTACTGACTACCAATCTACCCAAGTGAATAGCTTCTTTCATGTATGTAAGTATGTATGTATGTTCATGTTCATGGTAATACATCCTCTGAATGCACAAAACTCTCTTAAGGATCCATCATGTTGACGTGTTTCTGATGGTGATGGGGTTGGTTGAACTTCTACTAAGTACCAACACGGGCTGACGTGATTTTCCCCGTTTTTCATTCCTTCCATTCACTTCTTCTCTTCACTTCACTTCACTTCTCTTCAGCATCTTCATATCTTTTTCCAGCTTACATTAGCCAGCGTTTTTCATCTGCTCTCCACTGCTCACTCTCAACTGATCTCACTGCTCATTCTGCATCTGTGTGCTTCATCTCACCTTCCCCCTTGGCTCGTCCGAATTATCTTATCATCAAAATTAGAGTCTTCTGTAACGGTACTGGAAACACGACGACTAGGTCGCAGGTTGGGTCGAACTCGATGGAGGTCTCGTGGAAATCTAGGGGCTCTGGTGCTAATGGATCGTGTCTCCTCTGCAATCGATGTAGCCAAAGAATGATATTGAAGAATCAGCAAAGTTGGTACTTTGCTGATTGTACTATATACTGTCTACAGGTATCCGTCTCCTCTTCTCAGTCCTACTGCAAGCGTCCATGTACATACTCGGACAGGTGAAAAACCGCTTTGAGCAAACCCAGTGGGGAAAATCTCGAAAGGGGAAAACCCGTCCCTACCTACTGCAGCACTGCCTCCAACTCCCGCTTTCCTCTGTCCTAATCCGTCGAACTCGATAGAGTCCTCTCGATTCGTTGTTACCCCGTAACAAGTTTCCCCCCCTGTCTCAAGGATCCTCGCCGAGGATCCTGAACCCTGTAACCAGGTGATGCACATGGATTGTTCTTAGACACCTTTGGTGCGCCCTGACGTCACACCTGCGCTAGTGTGACGGTTGCCATGAAAACGCGTCACCCGCACGGACCTCCAATGTGATCGAGAAATTACTGACCAAGTTACCTCCCCGTCTTCTTTCTCTCTTTCCTCTTCATTCTCTCTTTACCTCTTGTTCGTCGTTCTTTTTACTTATCTATCATCATCCATCCATATCTTACTCATATCTTAGAGATCCTTCCAACTCTGACCTGTCTGTGAGCATGTCTAAGCGTACTGTAAGCAATTCCCTTCGAATTCGATGTATATCCTCCTATCTCTCACTGGCTGACGAGATTAGTTGTCTCCTTCCACCTCCTCCCGTCAAACTCGAGCTTCCACCCAGGCAATCCTACCTGACGTCGACCCCGAACTTCTCATGCGTCAAACGAAAAGAATGAGAATTACTTCCCAAATTCCTGGTACTACCCAGACTTCCACGGTTGACGCTTCTCGAAGGGCTCTGGACACCATTAAGGATCGATATCAATCCGGTCCTTCTCGCGATCAACAATCGTCTCATCTTGATGACCAGGTCATCGAGCAATATTTCGACTTCGAAGGGGGTGCTGGGCCATCTGCCACTGGTGAGAACCTATCTCCCGCCAAATCCGTCGACTCCGAACACCCTACCGTCGTCGAAAATGAAAATTCTCCCGGTAAGCAACCCACTGGTCCTCCTTCTGAGGCTTCCGACGAACTTGTGGAGGTTCCCGAAGAACTTGGTGACATCTTTCACGCCCCTCGCAAGGTTACCGTCAACCAGGAACTGGTTAAGTTGCTCGAGGATCGAAAAGACTCCGAAATCGGTGAGAATTCCACCGAGTTCTGTTCGCTTCTGACTTGTTAGCTACCCTTTGGGCCAGCATGACCTTCCCCTCTGTTCGTCTCGCGTTGAAGAACGAAGCTCTGGACCGTTTCCGCGAAACCAACGCCATCAAGCCCACTGTAAAGTGGTTTAAGAACGCTGTAAGTCTCGAATTCCTTCAAGTTTTATCGATTCTAATCATTAGCTCGATCGTTTGGCCCAAGGTTGGCGCCTCCGCAACAAAAATGGTGCTGTTGTTCGGCTAGAGGGTGAGCTCTGTACCGATTGTCAACGTCGTCTCGATGGTGGCGAAGACTTTCGTGTTGGTTGTATTGGCCCTCGTAAGTTCTTGCTGCGACTCGTTCAATGTTGATGCAATTCAGTCGGTGGTGTGTGCGGTGAATGCTCTGCTAAGGGTACTTCAAAATGTTCGGTGAAGACCAACAACCCTGAGTCGCGAACTCAATAATGAGCCTGTCTATTTCCTTCGAACTTGGTCGATGTTGATGTATAGGGTATTGTTGTGGGAGCAAGAACGGTCACTTCCCAAGGTTACTTTTGTCATGGAGCACGAGCTTTGTGCGGCTTCGGTCCGCTATCGATCCCTTCCTGCCCATGATCAACCCGCTGTCTGACCCAACTTTCGGGTTACATCCATCTCTTCACCTCCCTTCTCCTTCCTCTCCCCTCTCAACATCTGGATCTTTACAAATCCCTTCATCTTATTTCCGCCAACTATGCTCCTCCTTCCGCCGATGAAACTCTGGATCATCTCACTTCTACTGGTGATCCTACAGGATTGAGTTCCTCTCAGCCAATCGCTGGTCCCTCCTCTTCTCCCCATACTCCTCTCCCTCGCAATGTCATTCGTATTCCCGCTTCGGCCCGTCGTCCCCGAGCCAATTCTACCACCTCCAACTTTTAGTGTGTTTATATCTCTCTATTTGTAGCTATATTTCCTGTGTATGCATTTATTTCTGACCCAGTTTTGTTGATCTTGATCGAATTCTCACTTTCTTCTGGGGTCCCTCTTCCTTTTTTCCAAAAATTCACCAAAAACGGCCAACTCTTCCACATTTTCTCGTGGTTCCCAGTCATAGGCCGCATTTCCTGTGTATCCTAACCATTTTACCTTGAATTCTTCCTTTCCTCGTCGAATTCTGCTGTCCACGATTGCTTCCACATGGAATTCATCCTGGCCGTTAATTACTACAGGCGGTGGGGGTGGTATCTGTCGACCTGGTATCATATCCTTGGGATATGGTTCCAACAGCGTGACATTGAAGACATTGTGCACCTTCATTGCTGGAGGTAGATCTAATTCGAAAGCATTTTTTCCAACTTTCCTTATGACCTTGAATGGGCCAATGTATTTTGCTTCTAGTTTTCGACTGGGTCGTTCCGTCGTAAGATACTTTGTACTTAGTAGTACCTGTTCTCCCTTTCTGAATTCTTCTGGTATGCTCTTGTGTCTCCTGTTGTAGTACTCTGCACTAATTTCATTCGCCATCCTGACCTGTTCTTGAACAGTCGCATGCAACTCTCCCATATCTCTCCATTTCTTCTCCAACTTGTTTGACTTTGATCGAATATCGTGCGAATGGATGTCGTAGTGTGGCACATAGCCGTAACAAGCTTCAAAAGGACACAGACCGTGGCTACTATGTGGCGAACAGTTATAAGCGAACTCAGCAATTGGTAGAAGTTGATCCCAATTGTCCATGTTGTAGTTTACATACATTCCAAGCAGGATTTCCATCTGTTGATTTACTCGCTCAGTCTGTCCATCTGTTTGAGGGTGATACGCAGTCGAATATAAGTTCTTTATTCCCAAGAACTGACATATTTCCTTCCAAATTTCTGCTGTAAACTGAGTTCCCCTATCTGATACAATTGTTCGAGGTACTCCATGTTTTGAAAAGATCTCCTTGATGTAGATGTCGGCCACTTTGTTCGCTGTTAGTCCAGTTGTACATGGAATGAATCTAGCCATCTTGGTTAGTCGATCGACTATCACTAGTATCGCGTCGAACTCGGTCGATTTTGGCAGGGGTCCCACCATATCCATAGAGATATCTGTCCAGGGGAGTGTGGGTACTGGTAAAGAGACTAGATGTCCATACGGCTGATGTCGATGAGTCTTATGTCGGTTACAGATCTCGCATCCTTTTACGTATTTGGCAATATATTCGTCCAAATGTGGCCAGTAATAGTCCTCTTTGACCATGGTGATAGTTTTGTCTCTTCCTGGATGACCTACTAGTATCGAATCGTGTCTTGCTTTCATTACTTCTAACCTTGCTTGTCCCTCTGGTATGACTACTCTATTCTTGTACAAGAGCAATCCGCTTTGAGTCCATGATACCACCGGTGCCTCGTTGCTAATCTGTGTCTTCTGTGTGTCCTGTGTGCTATGTGTCTGTGTGTCCTGTGTACTATGTGTCTGTGTGTCCTGTGTACTATGTGTCTGTGTCAATTGCAGCCCTAGTCGTCGTATGTTTGCTATGTCTTCTGAGTCTTTGAGTCCGTTCTTGATGAGTCCAAATAATGAGTCTTCTCGGATTGCTCCTCTTACTATGTGTCGGGTTTCTGAGTCTATCGAATTCGATCCATGTTTCTCGTATGTGGGTAGCAATTGTAGCCAGTTTCCTTTGTTTAGATCTGGGTCCTTACTACTTCCTTTTCCCGGGTGATAATCCCCTCGTCTTGTTAAAGCATCTGCTCCCCCATTTTTGCTACCTGGTCGATAAGTGATCTCTATGTTGAAGTCTCCTAAGATTTCCAGCCACCTCATTTGTCTTCGATTCAGTTGTCGCTTACTTTGGAAGTACTCCAGGTTCTTGTGATCCGTAATGACCTTTATGACATCACTACTGTTCGCTAAGTAAGGTCTCCATGCTACCAAGCAGTCCACAATGGCTAGTAGTTCCTTCTCTCCCACTGTGTAGTTTAATTCGCAGGGTGTCATTGCTCGAGACCAATACGCAACCGGATGAAGTTCCGTGGTCCCTTTTATCGATGGATGAGGGAACCTTTGGGACGCTATTGCACCTATCGCACAGTCAGATCCATCGGTTTCGATCCAGGTTGGTCGGGTTCTATCGAAATGTCGAAGTACCGGTGCTGTCGTGAAAGTTTTCTTCAAATTTTCAAAAGCTTTTTGACATTCCTCTGTCCAATTCCAAGCCTGATCCTTCCTGGTCAGACGGGTAAGAGGACCCACAATATGTGAGAATCCTTTGATGAACCGTCGATAGAAATTGGCAAATCCTAGAAAAACCTGAGTATCTCGGACTGTCATTGGTTCTCCCCATTCTAGAATGGCTTTCACCTTGTCTTGATCCATTTCGATCCGTTCGTGTCCGATTACATACCCCAGAAACTTCACTTCGTCGCGACTCCATTCACACTTCCTCGGGCTAACAACCAAGTCGTTTTCAAGTAATCGGTCCAATACCTTTTGGACAATTATCTGATGGTTTTCGATCGTGTCTGAGTATACCGTGATGTCGTCTATGTAAACTACCACTCCTTCATCTAACAGGTCGTGGAACATATCCTGCAGGAAGTTTTGAAAGGTGGCTGGTGCGTTGCATAATCCATCCCGTAGAACAGTGCTTTCAAAACTACCGTATCGTGTTCGTAGAGCAGCTTTATGTTCATCTCCTTCTTTTATTCGAACTAACTGATAGGCCCCTTTCAGGTCGAGTTTGGTAAACACCTTTCCCAATTGAAGTCGATCGAGTAAGGTCGAGATAAGTGGCATTGGGTACGAATCCTTGATGGTTACCTTGTTAAGTGCCCGGTAATCTGTAACTACTCGATAGGGAATGACTCCTTTCTTGGGGACCAGGAATACTGGGGACCCATAGGGCGATTTACTTCTTCGCAGATGTCCACTAGTCAGTCCATCATTGATCCACTGCTTCAGGAAAGCATCCCCATGCTCGTCCAGTTGGTAGATTGGTCCTGGTTTCAGTTCAGCCCCTGATACTAATTCGATTTCGTGGTCACATTCTCTTCTTGGTGGTAGTCTTCTTGCTCTTTCTACCTTGAATAATTCGAGGTACTGGTGCCATTGTGTCGGTATGATTTGTCGTAGTTCCTCCTCACTCATTTCGTCTTCCCCTTTCTCCAGTGTTGCTCCTCTTATTAATCCTTCTTCTAATCTTGGGTATTTCCAACCAGTATCTCGTTCAATTCCGTCGAATTCGATCAGTCCCTTTCCACAATCGATCCTTGCCCTAAACTGTCTCAAGAAATCTAGTCCTACTAGTACTTCTGGTCCTTCGTATGCCATAACATCCAGTCGAGTTGCAATCCTGAGTCCTTTTCCTAGATCTAATTCTGCTTCTACATATTCGGTCACTAAGGTCGCGGTAGTTCCATCCAGGAACCTAATTTTTCGTGGTACCTGATATTGTTTCTTTGGGAATAGATGGTATAATGGACAGGCCGGCTGCACATACCTTCCTGTAGCCCCGGTATCGATTAACATTCCAATCTGTAGGGTATCTTTCTTTGTTTGTATTTTTATATATATTATGGCCGAGTCATTACTGAGATCTATTGGTATTTGAATTTTCTGCGATCCGGGCAGATCCTGGCCGCAAGTGGTCGCATCACTTAGGCCAGGTAGTCGTTTCCCTCTTCTTCAAAGGTCACCGCCATTCCTCGAACTAATGGCCCTTTGGATCCAGTTGGGATCGAGTTCGATCCACTAGGAATCGGTGAGCTATGCGGGTTTGGGGATCCCCTAATGTTGTTTCTCGTATTTCCTCCATTTGGACAGTTGTTGGCGTAATGTTCTGGACTTCTACATTTGAGACAACGTCGGTTCTCCCTCCTCCAAGTCATTTCGTTCTCGCTGAGACGTCCTCCGTCCTCTGTCCAAGTGACCGGAGGGTCATTTGGTAGACCATGATTCATCATCCCTGGTTTTCCACCGGGCAAGGGTCCTCTACCAGTCGATTGTGAGTGGCGCTCTACCGGGTTGGGCAAACTAGTATCCAATCGCATCGAATTCGATCGAGGGGGAAGCCAGGTCGTCTCATGTTTGCGTCTAGCAGCCCATCGATTCGCTGCAATCATCGTTTCAGCCATCCGTTGGTTCTCCTCAGTCCCTATCACATGCTGTTTGAAATAGATCCAGTCCGATTTGGTTCGAGGGTCGGTGTTATTTACCACTACCACCTTCAGTAGCTCTTCCTTCAGGCCCTGTATGGCTGAGGCGATTTTCATTGCATCTGGTACCTTTCCAAGGTGTGTGGACCAAAGTTCAAAGTTGGCAAAATACTCGGCGGCCGTATCCGTCTGTCTTAACTCCTGCAATTTCCTCATAGCCGTACCTGCCATGTTACTGTCTCCAAATTGAGTTCGTAAATGCTGGATGAATTTGTCGTAGCTCTCTAGCCATTCGGTCGAATTCCATATACTTGGATTGGTTATGGCCGGGGTTATAAGCATTTGAGGGGTGCCTCGAAGATACCCGTACATGAACAGGATCTTTCTGCGATCGGTGGCGTACTCCGCCCCTTTGAATTCGAAGTTCATGTGACATGCTGCAAGGAAGTTGTCCAATTCTCCTCGTTCTCCACTGAAGGTAGGTGGATCCGCACACCTGGTTCTTCCTGTTCGTTCGTTGTTGGTAAGTTTTGGCTCCAAACACGGCTTGTTTTCTTCGACTTCGATCAAACTTGCCCTTTCGATGTGAGTATCTGTTGGTTCTGTCGTCAGCTTCATCGTAGCCAGTCTTCCCTAATGCATTTTG